CCGGCGCCACAAGTGCCCTCGGTGTCGTGAGGCTCAGCAGAGAACAGGGCTGAATAGTCCTGGAGACAGTGATCCTCTTATCCCGTAGGTGGTCTGTCAGGTCTGGGCTGAGCCCCATCAGCAAAGCACGGCAGGGAGCTCATGCAGCAGCTGCCGGCTGGGTCAGGGCCGCTTGGCACAAACCCCAAAATCAGACGGGAGGTATAGCTGAGTGGCGGTGCTCCCAGCTGAGCGGAGAGCCGCACAGGGGGACCCGCTGCTTTCCAAGCACTGACCGAGCAAGCGACACCCATTCATGCAGCAAAGTCACTAAATGAACCGCATTTTATTGATAGACTGCTGAGAGCCCCTGCCGCTGGACCCGCAGACTTTTGGATGATGTTAGACGTGAAGTCCATGTTGGTGACTTGTACTCAGTGTGGGGAGCATATGGGACGTGATTTCATGGGCTGAGGATGGGGGGCATCCTTAGGTGGATGTGCCCTTTCCCTAGAAAAAATATGGTAGAACTGGAAGTGATACAGAGAGAAGTGATGAGAGCGATCAAAGATAGCCCACGGTTTTAGTGCCTGAAAACCCAGGGAATATCTCAACTAGGAAGGTGGATGGTAGATGGGGGATTTGACAGGGAACTATAAAATCCTAGGTGAACTTGAGAAGGTGAAGAACAATAAACAATGTTTGTATGCGGCACCTAATTAACCTCAAATGAAACAATCAAGTTTAAAACTAAAGGGAGTAATTTTTCATATCACACGTAAAGAAGTAACAGAGCTCAGTGCTGCAGAGTTTCCTGGAGACAGATGTGTAAATGGGCTCAAAGAGCAATTAGATGTATTTGTGAAAATTCATCACAGGCTATTAAATTCAGGCATGGTTGTAGCCTCTGACTCAGGCAGAAGGGAAGGGAAGGCAAGGGAGAAACTAGAGGCAGGCGGTTAGAGTCAAAGAGACAAAAATATATAAGAATGTGGCAGCAGAAGGGAAACCCAAGCAAGCCAAACCCAGCAGCACTGGCAGCTCTCAAGTTGTGCTCAGCTGCCAGTGGTACCTAGTGGTGGGTGGTAGCTACCGATGCACTTCCCGAAGTCATGACAGGGCAAGGGAGGGGGAAGGTCCCACAATGTCTGTGCTCTCTCCATCGAGCTTCCCTGTCTCAATGCTGCAGAAGACTGGGCTGGCCAGGCTCAGTGGTGGCTGACAAGGGACTTTCTGGCTTTGTATGCACCTGGATTCTCCTGGAGGAGATAGAAGATGGGGCTGCAGCCTGGTACAGCCACTGCATGTGTGCGCCAGGTCTTTTGCTGTTGAGGGGACACATGGCAGTGGAGTGCCTGGGTCTCTGGATGAATACACTCCTTGCTCCATGGAGGAGGTCTGACCTGGGTTGACTGCTCCATGTACCTCATGAGCTGTAAGGAGCCTCTCCTCATAGTGCGATTGCCATGAAGTCACTTACCTTGCACTTTCCCCTATCTGAACACATCACATCTGGAAAACCTTGTGACTCCTCCCTGTCCCCCAGCTTATGTCCCTCTGTAAAGGGAGGGCCACATGGGCACCACGTGCTGGGTAGTCAGTGTGATCCCATTTCTATTTCATACCCTGGCTGAGCCGTAGGCAGTGTGAATATGTGAGTTACAAGGCAATAGAGAACCAGTCCCAGAATGTTAATTAAATGAATACATTATTGTATAATGACTGCAGTAATAAAATGCTAGTCTGAGGTATTAGGGTGCCATTTATCATTTTATTTCAGCACCTAGCTTAAGTGAGGCCACCAAGTAGGTCTTAGAAAGGGATTTTCAGAGGGTCAAATAATCCTGTATCCTTCTTGTTGTGGGGTTTCTTGCTGTTCCTTTGAAATGGCTGATTCTAGCTACTGAGAAAGGAAGGGTACTCTGGAAAAATTCCTACGTTTTGGTAAGCCAAGAGACCAGAATAATAAACAGAAAAACATAATCATTACAAGCCATCTCTGCTCCAAGGGATAGACATTCCTGATGCTCTATATTCTTCCAACAGTGGAAAACAACCACAAATTCAAGACAACTTGCAGGGTTTTCTCTTGCCTCCTACTACAGGGAAAGGCCATTACTGCCTGAAGAATTTAGCCCCTTGCATATGTTACCTTAAATTTATGATGAAAAGATGGAAAGACCAGAAGAAGGCTCTAGACCAAGTAATGAAAAAGCATACTAGTCTGTATTTCTCTTCTGTTTTGCAGTGCCATGGTTTCCAAGAAGTATCCAGGAGCTGGACAGGTTTGCCAATCAGATCCTAAGCTATGGAGCAGAATTGGATGCTGATCATCCGGTAAGAAACAGAGGTTTATTTTTTAACATGTTTCTAGTTATTGGGACAGATGTTTCTCTCATTTACATTCTCCCTGCTTTAAGACAAATCTATTGACTAAAACTCACATGGTATAGGACATGAAAGGTACCACATTTGTAGGGTTAGTATGAGCCCAATCCCTGGTTTTGAAGTAAATCAGACCAAAGGTCACTTTAATTTGGGCAAATACTGTAAAAGTCGTAGTGGTCATCAGAGCACAGGGCCACCACAAGGATACCTCTAGTTTCCTGGCTGGCTTTGATTTTGTGATGTGGTGATTCAGACTCACTTTGTGATTCACTAGCAACAACAACTTCAGAAGCAACATATCATAACCCAGAGATAGGAGGATTAGTTTATTCATCCTTGATGACGTACACAAGATTGAGCTTAGTGCCTTGTTATGTGGTTGTTAAATCTGTCATGATTCTTGTATGGTGAGGCAAAACAAAAGAAAAGGTCCTTGTTTCAAAGGGTTTATGGTTTAAATGTTAGGGTCAGAAAGTTTCGTTCATTGGCTTAGCTGATAAAATTTATTCAGCGGTTTTTCAGCTCCTCCAGATACAAGAATACTTTCTGCCTCTATTCCCTCTTCAAGCAAACAACAACTTATTTTCATTTGTCAAAACACACTGAGTTCCATGCAGTGCAACAGAAATTGCTGCTATTAGTTTAATTGAGATAGGGTGATTATAAATAAATTACATGCAGCGCAACAAAAATTGCTGCTATTAGTTTAATTGAGATAGGGTGATTAGTCATTCACTACCTATTGCTTAATTCAAGATGTGTTATGTATCATGTACAATGATTCATGATGTTCGATGTGGTCATATGAAAGGCAGAATGAAAGGAGTTACACTGAGTCAATGGCCCCCTTGTGTGTCATGCGGGAATAGACCAATAGACCAAGATTGTATTTGAAAAAAGAAACAAACAAACAAACAAAAGATATTAAAAGGAATGAAGCATCTCTGCTCCAGTTCCTAGAATTAGCTAGTTAGCAGTTTATGCCTTAAAAAGGAAACTCAGCTGCTGGAGTAAATAGGTGTGATGGTACATAGAGTGCAGAAAAAGAGAAATTAAAGGAGCCGGTGTTTTCAGTAGTTAAGTGATACGGGATTTACTCACAAGTACCTCTGTGCCAGGTTAATATTGGACAGCACAAGTTTTAGGGAGTTGGCTGCCTCTTTTGACTCATACTCATAGATCTCCACTCTACTTCAGCTGCCTCCTGTACTTGGTTGTGTTTCATGGCCCCTCAGTCCAGTTGTGCCGTGCACCACTACGACATGCATTGGTGAACTGCCGCAGTGTCCAGTGAGCCTGTTGCTATTTGCCTGCAGAAGTGTGTCCTAGCTTGGAAGGACATTTCTCCACTTTTGGTGGTGACGACATTCCTAGACCCATGGAACTTTTAGTCTAAATAGCAGACACACTGGGATAGGAGAATGGTTATCCTGGATGAAGATTAGAAATCGTATTTCTTATCCCTGGTTTTACTGGTAGTTTGCTGCAAAGGTCAAGCTCCCAACCACAAGGTCTGAGACATTCTCTGTAGTAATTAAATCCTTTCAAATGATAGAATTTGTAGTGCAAACAGGGCTTTTTGGCGTGAAAAGTGCCTACTGTTCTTCTAACAGTTTGAAAAATTAGCACTTTTAAGCATGGTTCATGCTGAAAATCCGCCTAAAAGGTCTGACTAAGTTGATGAGTGTGTTTCTAACATGGTTTAAGCCTGCTTCTCTAGATCAGCCCAGCAGTGCCAGGAACTGCAAGAAGCTTAATAAGAAAACAGAAGGACATGGTTATGTTAGTGCTGTTACTTCAGTGTATTGCTCTTGCAGGAGCACCTTGTTGGCACCGTAAAGGAGTATGTTTCCCATTTTTTGTAACAAGTGGAAATGAAAAACTGAAAGCACTTGAGGGCGAGTGGTGCTGGGAGGCTGTGACTGCTCTGGTGGCCCTGCAGACAGGGAAGGAGTGGTGCCCGGCATGAGCAGAGCTCGGCAACATGGAGACAGCTTTCCCACTCACTCTCCTGAGCTTCTTGGATTGCACTAATTGTGCCTGAGGGTGCTTGGTGAGAGGAAGGCTGTTCACCACCTGCACTTACACAGGGATTGACCATCACTGTTTCTCCTTAGGGGTTCAAAGATCCGGTGTACCGGGCCCGGAGGAAGGAGTTTGCAGATATTGCCTACAACTACAGACAGTGAGTGCTCAGTGAGTGGGCAGAAAGCAAGCTCACATCTCCTGCCCTCTTCTTGGGCTCTCACCCTGCTGGCAATACCTATTTTTCCACAAGCATCCTGCTGTGTTATCTTTTCCCTGCCATGTGTTTAAATCTTCCTGTTCATGCATTTATCCCCAAATCGCGGTAAAACAAAAGTAAATTGTTCCAGGTACACATTCAGAAAAGAACATCACCTCCCTTCTTTCCCCACAACACCCCTCTTCACTGGCTTTGTTGTCTAATTGAGCAGCAGACTCCGTTGCTACTACAAAGACCTGAGCACTGAATAAAGCTGCTTCTGGTATTCTCCCCATTAAACTAGGGCTGGGGGAGGAGTGCCTATCATTTACATTAAAGCAGGAGCTGCATACACTATTAAATAATGAATAACTTACGGTTCTGATGCTAATTCAGTGCCTGATACTCTACTTTTATCATGTCTGACCCAGCTGCAATCAGCAATTTGGGCTCTCATTTCCCAAGAAAAATAAATGGAGATGATAAATTCAGTGAGAACAGGCTTGCTTGATTGCTTTCAGTGATCAGATCTGGAGGAGATAAAATTCTGTTCCCAGAGCCACTCACACATTTACATCAGTACTACCAGGCCTGATTCTTGCTGAGACTGGTAAAAATTGTGATTGCAAAGGATAAAGTAGCATATGTTGTACATTTAGTGATCCACTTTGCACAGGACTGTGATGAAAATATAGTCCCTGAGCCAAAGAGCTAATAATCTAATCACAAAATGAGAGACAAAATTGGACTGATTGATGGAAAGTGAAAAAAGTCAGGAGCTCAGTTCATAGCTAGAAAATTTGAATACGATTTTGTGGCCAGATGTGGATGGGTCTAATGCCCATTTATAGGTATCCCACAGAAAATTTATCTTACCTGCATAATGGATAACAAATACTTGTCTCTAGTGGACAGGCTTTCACAAAATCTTATATAGAAATAAAACAAAAACTATGTTAACTAACCCCTCCTCCCAAGATTCAAAGAGAAACCATCTTAGGAAGATGAAACCATTATATTCCAAGATGTAACTAATTAATATTTAGTCTGTTATCCAGATCCTCCGACACATTGCAAACAGAACCTATACAGCTCTGGACCTGTATCCCAAAAGCATCTTTTATGTGAAGTTCTTGGATCTTCCCATTGGGTCTTTCAGTAACAGAGCAGTAAGTAGGGTGTGAAAGCCCACGTCTGGGTTTCTGGGGCTCGTGGAAAGAAGGCATGTGTTTTCTTGTGACTTCAGGTGTTGATTCAGGAAGGCTCAGATGGATCTGTTCTTTGCCCCGGGTGCTACACCTGGCAGACAAGCCTTTCAGGGTCTACAGTGGGGATGAGAAGTCCAGGGGATGTCTCCAGCATGGGGGAACAGAGATGCAGAGAACTGGGCAGGAGGAGGGAGGCAACTATCAGTTGTTATCAGACAACGTGGGAAGTACCTGAAAAGGCAAATGTGGTTAGCTTGTGAAAGTGCTACCCAGTTACAAAGGTGAGGTGTGGCTGGGGTTGCTTGTCTTGTACTCTTCTTCCCACCACCAATTTCATCCTCTTCTGTGACCCTTCTTTTGCTCCTATTTTGTCCTCTCTACTCCATCTTTGCTCTTTTTCCTTCTCTCCTGACATATTTACCCATTGTTTTTGTTGAATGCTTAATCTGACTTTGCTTTGCTTTTAGCTTGCCTCTTTCCTCTGTCTTTCTTTGCTTCTGGCTCTGTTGATCCCTGAAATGTTTTAATTGAAATTTGAAAGGTTTTTTAAGCCATTGCTTCCCCCTTGTAGCCTGGAAGATGGTTGAGGATTACTTAGGAGTGCTATAGGAACAACAATCCCCCAACAATCCTCATAATTCAACATGAAGTTTAAAGCTCCAGAGATCAAGGAGGGCTGATACAGAGAGACAGAAAATGACAGTTCTCCAGAGGAGCTGCCCTGGGGCTCAAGGAAAAAAATGAAGGAGTGGGAGATAGTGGGGTGTCATCAAGAGTTTAACAATGGTTCTCTGGGGCTTGGAAAGCTCCAGCATTATTCCAGCAGTGATGTTAACCCTATTAAGTTACTTAAAACCCTTTGATATTTCAAAGCTGCTGGATTCACCTATGGCCCTATCATTATTGCTAAGGAATTGACTATTCACAGGAGGCCAAACTACATTACTTGTGATTGTCTTATTCCTGCTAGCTTCAACATGAGCTAAGCACCTGGAGGCCTGAGGGTGGGATTTGAATCAAAATTACTCATTACAAAAATTCAAACTGGCTGGAGTCTACATCTGTTACGGCATAAAGCACAGATCAGAATTTCTCTGCCTCTCCAAGAAACAGAGTTTTCTGGAGCTGATGGCTTCCCTGTTGTAATCAAAACAATTAATGTAATGTGTATTAGAGCAAGAAATACAACAGCTGCTCCATATGAAGAAATGTAAATAAATTGAAACAAACAGCCAGGAGATATTTTTAGAAGAACGTCTTGATAAGACAAATAAACACTTATTTGTTTTCACCACAATAATGCAAGGAGTTTTCTAAAGGCCAGTATCTCAGCTGAGGTCAGTAGAGTCCTTCCCAGCCTGTGCCTAGGGGCAAGTGAAGCTCCTTTTGCACCTGCATGCCAGACCAAAGGCATTTCCCCTCCTGCACCAGCAGCTCCTGGCCATGTAAAGCTCCCAGGTATGATGCTTGTGGCACAGGACATTTTATCCGTCACTCCTATGGAGCGTATTCATTTTCTTTCCAGTGGCCAACCTATTCCTCAAGTCACCTACACAGAAGAAGAAAAGAAAACATGGGGCACTGTCTTCCGGGAGCTGAAGAGTCTCTATCCAACTCATGCTTGTTATGAACACAACCACGTGTTCCCATTGCTAGAGAAGTACTGTGGCTACCGGGAGGACAACATTCCCCAGCTTGAAGATATTTCAAAATTCTTGCAGAGTAAGTTTGAAATATATAAAAGAACCGAATCAAATGAAAGGCCTCAGCTGTCAGTGGGAGTGTGCTTCCAGTGACAAAAAAAGCAGTCCTGCTTTATCACAGGCTCCCTGTGGTGCTTGGGCACATCCCTTAGCCTGTGTCCCAGGTCCACCTCTACAGCTTCCAGGAGTATGATGGTGCTCAGATACTGTGATGGTGATACACATGGGTATAAAATTCCTTGTTTTTTCACAATTAAGATCTGTTTAACATAAGGAGAGCATAGAAAACAACAAGCTTTTTTCACTGTGAGAAGTTTGGATAAGGATAAATCAAACACACTAGCTGTTTTTAAGATGTCATTTTTTGTCCCTTCAGCCTGCACTGGATTTCGCCTGCGTCCTGTTGCAGGCTTGCTCTCCTCTCGGGATTTCTTGGCTGGGCTGGCATTCCGAGTATTTCACTCTACGCAGTATATTCGCCATGCATCCAAACCCATGTACACACCAGAGCCGTAAGTACTTTGGCACACAAAGTGTGTAAAGTGTTAGCAGACTTACAGTAGGGTCAGCTAAACTGATAACCATCATGTGGGACTCTGGTGCACTCCTGGGAACAGAGCTAATGGAGAGCAGCCAAGCAACTGCTCTCTTCTGAAAACATTTTCAGAAGTTTTCTAGTCTTTTTAACAAGCTGCATCCTCTTCTGCAAGTTCTTATGGGACTGCTCAGACAGTTTTGCTGCTGAAAACATGTTTGCGTGGCTGGGATGTGAGAGAGCAGTGTACAAAGGCATTTAGCTTAGCTATTAACACCCAAACAGTGATGTGAAATCTAGTACAGGAATGACTCAACATGTTGCAAGCAAGATTCTGGCAGCTAGAGAGAGGAAGCCCAGATCATCAATCCCTTCTCTTCTTTAGTTTTATGCTGTAATGTTTCTTTCTGTTTCTGTCCATTGTCCTTTTCCACTTGCCTTTTTCAAAAAAATTTTCTTCCTCTGCTTCATATTTTGGCAATTCTTCCTCCTTTCCCATACCATGTCTTTGCTTCCTACTTTTTTCCCAGAACCTCCTTTTCATCTTCTCTCTCTCCGTCCCTCCTTCCTTCCTTCTGATTTTCATCCATGCTTCTGCTCATCCCATTCGCATCCTGCACAAAGCCAAGCTGAAATGTCTTCCACAGCCCTGGTCCTCTTGGGAGAATCTTATTCCTCTCCCCTTTGCATCTCACCAAATCACTTCTCTGTCTTTGAAAGATCTAGCAGTTCAGCAGTCCCTAGGCGAGCTCTTCCCCAAACATATCTGTCCAGCTGCCAACTTCACCTTGTGATGAAAACAGTCCTTCCTGAGGAAGGATGAGATTCCACCTCTCAGTGGGAGGCTTCAGGCTTGATCAGGGACTGGAGTTGAGCTCTTGAGGTACCTGTTGATATCATGGTGAATTTTCTTCGTAGCCAGAGCTTCATCTAAAGAGGTTTCTTGTCCTAGAGACTGAAAAGTCCATGTTCTTTTTGGTGGGGTGATTACTTTCTGGGTTTTCCTGAGCTGGGTGGGGAGTTGAATAGATGGTTTTCCTTGTGGAGGAATAATGTATAATAGTTCATCTGAGGGATGTAAGATGATAAAAGCACTGAAAACTCTGGAGTGTGTGTGTTTCCATCACAAGAATAATTATAGATCAAAATGTTTTCCCATGATTCCTGAGCATTATTTGCTGGTAGGAGCAGATGCATTGCACTCCTGACTACGCGCAGACTCCAGGGCATTCATCCAGCATTGCTGGACTTTTCCTAAATAATGTTATTCTGTTGTCATGTTTTCCTGTAGTGATATTTGCCATGAACTGCTAGGACATGTGCCTCTTTTTGCTGATCCCAGTTTTGCTCAGTTTTCCCAGGTAAGTTAATCAGTGGCATTATTACTTTCATAATTGAACACACCAGAGACCAGGTAACTGAGAGGATGAACCAAGAGCTATGAGGGGTGAGGTGCATATTGTTTAAGAGTGGTTGAGGCTGATTTATTTATTGCTTGAAATCTCGACATAAATCACTTAAGTGAACTCATACACCCAAACTCCAAATGTCTGTCTTGCTTGAGTTGTTTTTTTACAGGCAAACCCTTTGCAAAGCCATAATCTAAAAACCTTTTTGTAGATATTGATGCTTCTGAGCAAAGTTAAATGGCTTGTGAGTCAAATGAATTATTGCCCCAACCTGCAGTCCAAATGTTAAGGAAAGAGAAGATTTTTTGTTTGTTTTCTATTGAAGCCACAGAGGAGGCTGAGTAAAGTGGGGAACTGTCCCAGATGCAAGCATGGGAGAAGGCTGGAGAGGAGATTTCTCTTTGGTAGCATTAATGTCTCTGGAAAAGAAGCCAAACCTTGGTGAAGGAGTAAACTTTGGCTACATCTTACCAGAAAAAAATTAAAAACCAGAGAAAGTCAGAAGGACAGGCAGACAGACAGAAAGAGAGAGAAAGAGTGAGAGTGAGAGAGAGCCCTGCCATTCAGGAAAAATAACACGTTCAAGGCTCCAGGAAAAGTCTTGCAGTATTAAAAAAAAAAAAAAAAAAAAAAGAGAGAAATATTTAAGGTGTGTGGGTGTCACTTATTTGCCTCCTTTTGACTGTATCATACTCTTGGGTGTGCATTGTAGACTTGATCAAAAGAATGCCAAAGCAAGAGGAAAATTTTATTTGACCTCAATGGGCTTTGTACTAGGCACAAAGGATCAAGTCTTGTAAATGACATTTGGACAGGACCCTTTGTTCATTTCTGGAGAGATCTCTGGTTTAAAATTGATGTTGCATGATAGGAACATGTCCTGTAAACATTTGTGTGTGGTAGTAAGCAATGGTAACATTTAAAATGTGAGAAATTACATAAGACGAGACAGGAAGAATGTTTCCAATAAACAGCTTGAAGAATAATGGTTTATTGTTACAGGAAATTGGACTGGCATCTCTGGGAGCTCCGGATGATTTCATCGAGAAACTCGCTACGGTAATTTAATAAATGAGGGCTCAATTTTCCGAAGCACCCTGTGTTGTCTTAATTCTGCTGCCACTGAAGTCACTGATAGAACTCCCATAGAGTTGAATGGGAATAGAGTGAAGTCCGTGATTGGAAAACCCCACCCTGAAACAGTTGCATTAAAGGAAAATAACTTTGGCACCCCTTATTCAATGTGACGGTTGTGATTAAACACAGAAGCACAGACAAGATCTCCTCCGGCGAAAACATATTGGGCAAGAAGAGATTACATGTTACTACATCCCCACAGGAAATTTCAGGAGGCAGCTCCAGTAGTTGTTCTACCTGCGAGCGTCCCTTCTCTTCCACCCTGCCAGGCAGGTAATGTCCTCTGCAGGCAGATTGCTCACCTGAATCCTAGTCTGAGACTACTGAGACCCAGAATTGCAAATGTCAGATGAAAACAAGGATATGCCTGCGAGATTAGTGTTCCCAGCACCAACTCACCTGATCAAATCATTGCACATCTTTGCTGTTTTTGATAGATGAGATAGTTCTTCTGAGCCAGAGCAGGTATCCCTTCAAAATGACAGACCAAGAAGTTAAGCTAGGTCACACACAATATTCAGTATTGCACCAACAGCCCGTTCTCTCTCTTGCTGCTGCAGCTGGATGCCCTCAACTAAGGTTCAGACTTCAACAGCGTTGGCCAGTCTCAATGAAATTTTATTTCTCTAGTGTCATTGTCTTTGCTCAGCTGACATATGTAGGCACAGTAAAACACAACTGTATTTGTCAGGGAACAGAAGGGATTCTCAGGCACGCTGAGTTTAGCACTGCAACCCTTCAAGGAGAAGAATTTCAGACTTTGGGGACTTTCATTGTATGTATACAGCTGATATTTGAGGCATGACAACATTTTAAATAGAAACGTGAACTCTAAATGTATTTAAATCAATGCTGTGCACCTACTCTTTTTGATCAAGGAATCATATGTTTCTATCTAATTTTCTTGCTAGGTTTATTGGTTTACAGTGGAGTTTGGACTATGTAAGGAAGGCGATTCACTCAAGGCATACGGTGCAGGGTTGCTGTCTTCATTTGGGGAATTGCAGGTGTGTTCTACAAAAGAACATTTCAGAGATGTTTATAATCTCTCAAATTTCTCTTCTGAATGTCTTCAGTTCCTTATTTTGCTTCATATTTGTGCATAAAAGTAGCATGAAATGTCATACTTCATTGAAGAGCTCTGATAATTGCATCAGTGTATACATACACAAGGGACTCATACCTGCTTCTTTCCTAATGACATTGTCATTGTATTCCACAGGAGCAACTCATTCCTGTCTGAAACTGGGTGGCATTCAGTAGCTCTGTCTGTCTTTCAAAGCAAATCCAAGCACTTTTAAACTGAAATAAATTTTTTACCCTTTTGCTCATAGTATTGTTTATCAAGCAAGCCTGAGATTCAACCTCTTGTCCTGGAGAAGACTTCTGTGCAGAAATACCCTGTTACTGAGTTCCAGCCTATCTACTATGTTGCTGAAAGTTTCAAAGATGCAAAAGAGAAGTTAAGGTAATCCAATCGTTCCACATAAGATTCAATTTATTGTCCGTTGCCAATGCATTGGATTCCATTGCTATAACAGGACTTGAGTTGACAGTAATGTTTTTAGAAGCATTAGAAAAAGTTGTGTATTGCTTAAAGAGACCAAACTGCTAGTGGACTCAAAATCTTGTTATGGCCAACAGGGAGAACATACCTTATACATAATGCCAAGAATTTGTGGTTAGTCTAATTAAGATTTTTATCTGTATAATCAAAACATAACAAAAAATTATTAGTAGTCTAATTGTAACCATAGAATCAATTAGGATGGAAAAGACCTTTAGAATCACTGAGTTCAACTGAAAACCTAGCACTGCCAAATCTTCCACTAAAGCAAGTCCCTAAGTGCCACATCTATATGTCTTTTAAATACCTCCAGAGACAGTGAATCAACCACTTCCCTGGGCAGCCTGTTCCAATGCTTGAGAACCTTTTCAGTGAATAAATGTTTCCTAATATCCAATCTAACCCTCCCCTGGCACAACTTGAGGACATTTCCTCCTGTCCTATCACTTGTTACTTGGGAGAATAGACTGACACTCACTCCTCTGCACCCTCCTTTCAGGTAGCTGTAGAGAGCGATAAGGTCTCCCCTGAGCCTCCTCTTCTCCAGGCTAAACAACCTCAGTTCCCTCAGCTGCTCCTCACAGGACTTGTGTTCTAGATCCTTCACCAGCTCCGTTGCCCTTCTCTGGACACACTCCAGCACCTCAGTGTCTTTCTCATAGTGCGGGGCCCAAAACTGAACACAGGATTTGAGGTGTGGCCTCACCAGTGCCCAGTACAGGGACAATCCCTCCCCTGGCCCTGCTGGCCACACTGTTTCTGATACAAGCCAGGATGCCATTGGCCTTCTTGGCCACCTGGACACACTGGTGGCTCATATTCATCTGGTTGCTGAACAACACCCTTGGTCCTTTCCTGCCAGGCAGCTTTCAAGCCACTTTTACCCAAGCCTGTAGTGCTGCATGGGGTGGTTGTGACCCAAGTGCAGGACTCTTCATTTGGTGAGTCCTTGTTTGATGTCATACAGATGGATTTGGCCCAGCGATCCAGCCTGCCCAGATCCCTCTGTAGATCCTTCCTACTCTCAGACAGACCAACACTCCTGCCCAACTTGGTATCATCTGCAAACTTACTGAGGGCACACTCAATCCTCTCATCTGCATTATTGATAAAGGTATTAAACAGAACTGGCCCAAATACTGAGCCCTGGGGGACACCACTTGTGAATGACTGCCAACTGGATTAACTTAATTCACCACAACTCTTTGGACCCGTCCACCCAGCCAGCTTTTTACCCAGCCAAAAGTACACCCAGCCAGTTTCTCCAGGAAAATGCTGTGGGAAACAGTGTCAAAGGCTTTACTAAAGTCCAGTTAAACAACATCCACAGCCTTTCCCTTATCCATTAAGTGGGTCATAGGAGAGTTAGTCAAGTAGGACCTGCCTTTCATAAACCCAGCACTCAAGATGATTTGCTCCATAACCTTCCCAACACCAAGGTCAGGCTGATAGGCCTGTAGCTACCCAGATCCTCCTTCCAGCTCTTCTTGTAGATGGACATCACACTGGCTAACACTTAGGGTCAAAGCTAGCTAATTAATACAAAACAAGCCTCTTTAACAATACTACAGTTAAAAGTTCTTGCACAAAAAAATCCCCTAGTATCTACACCTTTTCCTCTGAATTTATGCTCACGCCTGCACTTTCTTTTGTGTCTTAAGTGAACAGTTTCAGCCTGTTGATGGGGGTGAAGTTGTCAAATAATCAACATCAGGTCTTCAGAGCACGGCTGTGATGTTAATGAATGGAGTTTCTTCCTCTCTTTTGTGAGGAGGTGGATGGTGTGGGTGTTTCCTTTTCTTCCTCCTCAGCCCAAGGTCTCCTCAGGGCTAACTTTACATTTTCTAGCATGCTTTACATCTTGCTTTTTCTACATTTGTCTGCAAATCTGTGTTCTTTCTGTTTCTTCTAAAACTCGTGTTGTTTGTTTTGGTATGTTTTTTGGTCCGCCCCCCCCCCCAGTTCCTAAGTTTGGCCTAGTGGAAGGTGTCCTTGCCCATGGGAGGAGGGTTGGAACTAGATGACCTTTAAGGTCCCTTCCAACCCTAACCATTCTATGATTCTATGATTTATTATGAGTAACTGACCACTGGGGAGTTGTTGATAGCATGGGACCACCAACATCATCAGGCTTGTGCCTTTAAGGCCTCTGTTATCAGCCCATGCTCCTTTATGCTGCATCATTACTGTAGGGTCAGACTGAGTTCACTATGTACAGCATAAATAGTTGTTATGCCTGTCTATATAAAAAATATTGATAGGCATTATAGCACACAGTTATTCAGACTTAAGCAAAACTAAAGCAAATTAGGTAATAGCTACACAGTCATTAGACAATTGCTATTACAACTAAACAAAAGTGTAAGCAAGACTAATAAACCCAATCCTGAGGCCTGTGTGGTTAGCTTAATACAGAGCCTCCAGCTTGTTACCAGCAGTGTTTTTACAAGACTACAGAGTTACACAGTAAGTCTTTCAGTCATCTGTGACTGAAATACAGATTCAGTTCCACTTCAACAAGACTTTGAAATAATAGTCCAGGTTCAGTTCTCATTCCTGAAACAGGGATGGCTCAGACTGTGTTTGAGCTTCAGCCTGGGTTCCACTTCAGAAATATTTCTACTTCTGTTTAAAAAAAATACCACCATATTTCTGAATGTTAGCCAATACACTGGGGATTAGCCTTGGTTCACACTCAACAAATTTATTGCTTGGAGATGCCACACAGGGCTTGTCCCAAACCTGCAGTCTCTTCTCTCTCTGTTTCTCCCATTCACTGATAAACACATACCAAGACCCAAAATATTCTGCTGACCCAGGCTCCCCAACTCCAAGGTCTTCCCAGCTACCTCCCTTGCTGCTTCCTCAGTTATCATAAGCCTGAAGCCTCTCCTTCTGCCCTTTCCTCAGGGTAATACCCAAGAAAGACAGCCTTATATTCTGGTTTGTGCTATTAATATCCTGCACACAGTTTCTATTTTCTCTGTATAATTCTCTGAGTAACAAGTTCCTTGAGAAAGTAGATGATGCTGCCTTACTCTATAAAAGCTCTTGGAGTTTCTTTTATTTATTTCAATCACCAAATTGGGAATGTGGTTAAACTGAAATAGAGGTCTAGGGGTTGGTCCAGTCCCAGTGATCATGGCTCACATGTGTGTTTGCGTGTAATAGAAAACCTCCCTAAAAAATGATTCTGAGGCTGACCTAAAATATTTCAGCTTAAGGCATACATCTTCTAATTAGGATCTTACCTTCAGCTGAGATTTAGGGAGACTTCTAATGTGGATGTCTCTCCTTAAAGAACCCTGGTCTGATGCCACTAAACACTTTCATCCTAGCCAACATAATTTTTTCCCACTGTCACACCTTGTGGCCTGCTCACACTGAACTCTACAATGGTCTTAACTGATAATAATTAGGACTAAACTGAAGGAGCAGTGTGGAGGCGGCATACTCGACTGTTCTGGGCATATGGGATTTACCATGCTGAGTCACAGTCTGTATAGTGGGGCTCCATAATCAACTCCTACATGCTTTCCTTCCTCTTTCAGCAATAACTTCAGTAATCTGAAGCAGATATATAACCAGTATCCTGCTGGGGTCTACAAGGAGCCTGAAACAATAGCTCTGACCATCCCATCCCATTCAGAGTAGTCCTTTCTACAGTTCTGTGGTTATGCAAATTAATGTTTTCCCAAGATACCAAAATCTTAATGTTTCTGCCATGGAATTAACTATTTTGCAGCAGGGAAGGCTGCAAATAAGGGGTGACGAGAATGCTGCCTCACTCTATTGACTGTCCCATCTTTGCAATGACCTGGAAGCCACTATCAGCCATGCCAGAAGTTAACACTTCACTTGCTCCTTGGTATGCCATGATGTCATAGATACTTGACCTTACTTTCCCAAAAATTGCAGCCTTGAATCAGGATTCCTATATTTTGCATTACAGAAAGGGAAATGAGGTTTTCAAGCTTGGCAAATATTGATAGCTACATAGATGCCCTATACCAGGAGCAGTGTTGCCATGCCAATAGCATAATTAGTCCTGCTTGGAAAAAAACAAAGGTGGTAAGCACAAACCTAGATCGAAATTACAGAATGTTGTCGGTCTCAAATCATTC